AAAATTTATAAACAATTTTTCGACTATTGCCTATATATACTGCGGTACAAAATATAAAAAATAGTTAAAATTATAATAAAATTTGGTGTCACTACACGTACCATTTGTGAAACATCTATTTTGAAATAAAAATTTAACCATTTGTTATTTACTTTAATAAAATTTATTAATATATTTCAGAAACCTGCAGAGATACCATATGTACTATTTTTAATTTTAATTGTTAATGGCTATTTAAAATATTAGGCCCGTGGGTATTTTTTAAAAAAATTTTTAGACCCGGTGGCCACGCCGGGCCTGCAGGTCAATGATATATTTAAGTAGATATTAATGAGTCTTATTAAAATATGTGAAAAAATAATATTTACCACCCCTAATTCTGCTTAAACCATAAAATTTTTAAGTTAATAATTCCTCTTATTCTTTCTATTTCTTATATGTCATATATTGTAAAAATTTATAAATATTTGTGGTGATAAGCAACTAGTTGTTACTAACCGTATTCTTAACTTTGGCCACGAGTGTATAACTTCAAATCGTACTAAAATGTTAAGTGTGAATGAATAAAATAAATATATATTAAAAAATTTGATTTTTTTTATCGGTTATTTCTATCTTTAATCTACAGATATCGTTCATTTTGGCTTTACCATATCTCCCTATGGGTGCCTACCTTTTACACCCCTTCAAAAAATTAAAGACAAACCATTCTTACCCCCCCCCCCTTCCCCTTTCACATTAATCAAGGTGGTTTGGGGCTTTTCCCTCTTAATTTATTTTCTTTGTCAGCCGTCCTTTCTTTTTATTCATTGCGAAGTTATAAGTAAGCTTATAAGTGGTAGTGATTCTATTTAAAACTACTTGTAAATTATGCCAGAAAAATGTATCTATTTATCTCTTCCACAATCCTCGGTAAAAAGAGACTTTCTTAACCCTCTTCTGGCTAATTATGAAATTGGTGAAGACTAATCCATTCTTTGAAGACACTCTTATCCTCAAATGATGCCAATCTTGGTCTATTGCTATCCAATGAGAAGGAGGGCGACCAAATAATATAAACTAGGCGGTTTATGTCTACATATGTGAAGGGTACGTAAAAACTCCGATCCTAATAGCCGTCCTACCCTGTTTATATTCTAAAGGATGGTTAAGTCGCTAATAATCTCAAACAAATTAGGGATGACCAATTACCAAAACCTCCTGTAACCCGTACACTTATCCTTGTCAGTTGGTTTCGAGTAAAAGACCTTATTTGGGATTTCACTTGCGTCTCATAATTTTCCTACAACCCAAATATCGATCCGATTATTATAGTTGAAAGGTCAAAAATAAAGTACCACGACTTTACTGAATTTCACTTTATTCCAATAATTATTTCTAACAATGGGATCATAGGCTCACATTTTTTAAGATTCTAAGTTTAAAAAAATTTTAAATTAATGGAGATCATGAATCCACTTTTAAAATGTTACAATCAACTCAAATTGCCATGTTCAGACAACTCTTAATTTTATCGAATTTCAATAACAAACTTTTTTGCCACCCCCTCTTATATATTTTTTTTATATTAATCTTGAAATTATTAACATAATTTACACTATTTTAATATTTTTAATAAATTATGCTATTTATATATTTTTATAAAAGGACAGAACTTTAAAAAACAGATATGCTGACATGTGTTCATGTCAACACCTAGGCATGTTCGGAAATTAGGACCTTAATTTTATTAAAACCATAGGAAAAAAAGGAGACAGATTACATGCGACCAAATGATTCTACCTTTGTAAGCGCCGGTCCAATTTTCTAAGCATAGTACCTTTTTTAGTTATTTTTATTATTTTCAATATAAATTTTTTTAAATATAATTTTTGATATTGTTTTGTATATTATTTTCTAAATTGAAACCATTTTTTAATATAATTCACAACTAAAAAATAAAAGAATTTATAAACTATCTTAATATTTCATCTTCACTGTAATCATATTATAAAATATTCATCAATTTTTTAAATTAGAAAATATTTGTAACTTAAATAGAATCTTTTCAATGAAAAAATATTTCCATTTTTTGGCGGCGGGGTTATTTTTGATATCAAAAAGATATCTAGGGATCTTTTTATACTATTCTGGAGTATTAAGAGAATTTTTCCAGATTATTTTCTTAAAACTTTATTCCGAGGAATTAATTTCCGACAATTATCTTCTAGGAGAATTTTTCTACTTACCAATTTCGATCATGGTAGATAATCGAGTCATATTAAAGAGTAGATAATTTATCAAATTTAATGGTCATAAATGTTAATGTAACCTCAACAGGGATCCGAACCAGTATGTAAAAAATTATAATGGATACGTTTTGGTTACGGTTCTTAAGAAAAAGTATATAAAGGTTCGGTTCAGCTAATTATAAAGGTTCATTACGGTTAGAAAATTTTTTTTTATTGAAGGAACATCATCGTTAATTTATTATTATTATAAGCATCTATGAATTATATATAAAAAAATTATATAAGATTGAAAATAACTCATTTTTAAATATATTATTTGAAAGTATAAATAATATATTTTCTAATATAAATGGATTCCTTTTTGTTCGTTGTGAGGATAACACATAGCCCCGAAAAGGCCCTTTCTACAGAAACTTGTGTTGTGGGAACCGCCAGTACTATAAGAGTAAGTTATATAATTCTGGATATTCAAATTATTTCCATTTCTAAAATCAGAGTTGTTAACGCTCCTTTTTAAAAGTAGCTAACTCCCGCTCCCGCTACTACATTTTTTAAAGGAGCTAGGTCCCGCTCCAAGTAATGGAGTGCCACTCCATAACCGCTCCTTTGATTTTTATTTTGAAGGTAAAGGAAACAAAATCATATTTTTTTATCAAAAAGCTTTATTTATATTAAATGATCTATCAAAATATTTATTTTAAAAGTAATAAATTTTCTAAATTAGAATCTAACAAACATCTACGCCTCTCCCCTAAGACCTGTTTTGCAATACTAAATAGGCACTCCACAGGAGCACTAGAGGGAAGCAGGGTATTGTATTTTATAAAGATATTTTTTAATTCAGGGAATTTATCAAAAATAGTAATTTTAAAAAATATTTGTCCAATATATTATCTTCCTGATGATCAATTTCATGGAATCCAAAAAAATCTTCCAAATTAATTTGTATTTAAAAGAAAGATTTTTTACTTTTAGAAGCTTTTTTAGATTGAAGCTGCTCACTTATGAAAATTAAATAGTTTTATTTAAACACAAAAGACATTTTGCCCTTAAATTTGTTTGATGATTTGGATCAACATCTTTTAGAAGTTTAAAATATTTTTTGTATGATGGAATGCAAATTCGATCATCTATGATCTCTAAATCCATAATATCTAAAACTATTTTTTATTATATACCTATAAAAATGAATATAATATGACTTACAAGATTTTCCAAAAATTTTTCAATATAAAAAGGAAAATTTGATGTTTATTATTAAAATGATTAGATGAAAAACCAATATAAAACTTGGCCAAACATTTAATAATGGATAAATTTAAATTAAATAAAATTTCATTTTTATTGAATTTTAATTAATAAATATTATTAATATTTAATAAATAATTAAATTTATACATTAAATTTAAAGGAGCGGTGGAGCGGCGCTCCTCCATTCCAGCCCTAAAGGGAGCTAGCTCCTGCTCTTCCTCCCCAATTTTAAAAAAGGTGTTTTTTGAAAAATGTAGCGGCGCTCCACAACTCTGTCTAAAATATAAATATTGAACTGGCTTTAACCGGTTTAACTTTTTTTATAAAGGTTCTTTTTACTCCTTCAAAAAATAATTATATCGGTTCGGTTCAGATATTTATAACGGTTCATTACGGTTCACACCGGATCCTGAACCTCAATGCCTTGATCCTTGATCCATGTTTCAAAAAGGAAAAGAAATCATTGAGGGTGAATAAAATCTTTAAAAAAATAGAGCCCAAAGAAATAAAATTGGTAGTATTAAATTTGTGATATCCTTTTTATAATATAAATAAACTATATATATATATATATATATTAGTGTTGTTAGGGTAAATTACCTATAACTAGTTACATTTTTGCTAAAAAATAACTGTAACTAGTTATATTTTAAAAATTGTAACTTGTTATATTTTTGACAATGTAACTACCAAAAGTAACTAGTTACTTTTAAAAATATGTATTTATAAATCTAAATAAAGGAAGATAATGATTCAGATATTGAATACATTTCAAAAGAAGATATAATGTCATCCTCTGGGCTAACCAATTATAATATAAATGACTTCGACTACCTTCCCAGGCATCGAAGATGTTCCTGTCACACATAACTTAGTGGCAACACAAGATGCCAATAAAATACTTTTAGACAATGAGAATTATAGGAAAGTGTATAAGGTTGCTATATCTAAATGTCAACGTTTGTTAAATACACAAAACAAATCTGGGCCATTAGCTAAGCAAATTAAAAAGAGAAAAACAAATATATTATGAAATTTGAAATAAATTTTTTTAAAATTAAAACGCCATTTTACAGGATCGGATAATTTAAGTAAAATATTGGTCAGATCCGATAAAAATATCTATACATCATTAGTTAATAATAAAGGCGAAACAATTTAAACAACTAAAAATTAGTTGTACTCTTATTAGACCCAATTCCGATTCCTGAAAAATTTATAAGGGGTTTTTGTACCATTTTTTTTTAAATATAATAGGATATTCTGATTCTTAGATTACCAGGTTCCCCAGGTTCTGATTTCAAATTCCTATAATATTTAATAAAATTAACTGAATAAAGACATAACATTTAAAATAATTAACTGTAAAGCATCATCAGAACAATTAAAAATATTTGCAATTTTATTATAAATCAAACAAAAGTAGTATAACATATTCAACAACGTGACATGCGAGTACAGAAATATATTTTATATCATTTTTATCAAAACGTTACTTCTAACTAAATAGTTATATAGAAAAAATTGTAGATTAAACAATAATTAATATAATATTTAGAGTTAGTTTTTAAAGATAAGACATTAATTTAAAAGCTCTTTAACAATTAACTATATATAACGTAACAACCCGTTAAAGTTATTGTATTGTAAAATAATATTATGATTAAAAAAAGTTGGTTTTTTAAATTATTTTTCATAGAAATTAAATATAATGTCACAAATATAGTATATGAAAACGCGATAACTGTTATAATAAATTATATTATGATTAAGAAAAAACATTCAAAAATATGAAGACTAAATAGCTAAAGCTAGCATTTTACTTCGATTTCTTTTCCACCTTCACGGCAATTTTTTCAACTTCCTTTTCAAATTTCCCGGCAGCTTTTTCAACCTTCTCAGCGGCCTTTTCGACAGCTTTGATAACTTTCGACCCTTCTGGACTTGGGTACCTAATGTCTATGTAGTATTCTTTGATACTATCGAACCCAGAGAGCACCCCTGCCCCAGCAATACCTCTCAATATGTTAGCTCCAGCACCTTTCATGAGGGACATGGCCCCTTCCTTCTTGATAATCTGGGAAGCCGCATCTACGCTTCCACGGTATTTGACAGCCTGCCCACTGGTCATCATCATGCGTCGGCGGATGGTATCAATAGGATAGGAAACTAGACCCGAGGCAACAGTTACTCCATATCCCAAAAGGAAGGAGGAAGCCAGATTGGCGTTAGGGCCTAGCAGGATGGGCTTGAGTGAGTCATAGAGACCAAAATAGAGGCCCCGGTAGACAAAAATACCTTTTGTAAAAAAGTAATAATTATATGTTTAATGCTAAATTTAATAATTTTTAAATTAGTTTAAGGTGATGATTCTAATCAACTTGATTTCACAAAAAATATGAGGTTGGGGTAATAATTATATTCAATAATTTATCATACTGATAACAGTGGAAGTACCCTGCAATTGGACCTGAAACTATGCTCGGGTATAAATGATGTTTTCGTCTGCTGTATCAAAAATTAGAATTTATTGAAAAGTGCCTTTAATTTATATTTTATTAATATTTGGGACCAGGCATGGCTGAAAAGATCAAATATGCAGGGCTCTAACTAGTGGTATGAATGTAACATAAATGTGACACATGGAGAATGCGTTTTCCAAATAAATGACGATTTTTATAATACTAAGATATTTTTTCCTTGTGCTTCATAAATCATAATTGTGTTTTGTTTTTGTATGTATATGTTGATTCTTGGTAAAATTACAATAATTCAACTGAAGTAATGTAAATTTTTTAATAATCAGAAATATATTATAAGTTAAAATATGTAATAGCTAAAATAAGGATAAGAAGTAGGATTAAAGGTTAGAGATATGGATAAGGTTGATTAAAACAAATTTTTTTGCAGGCCTGAGCCGGCATGATCAAAAAACCAGGCCCATGAAAATCGGATTTTATAAATATTTTATTTCAGTTCTCAACTACTAAAATTATTATGATCTTTCATTAAGCTTGGAAGAATTTTTTCAAAATTATTGTGGCCTTACCTTGCTTAGGAATTTTTTTTTAAATATTAAATTTAGGCATAGGTCAGTAATATTTAACAAATAATATTGATATTATCAAGTAAGAGCTTTAAATATATATTGACTCAAACCATAGCATTTACACTTAGTTTTAATGGATTGAACCTGGCCTGAAAAGAAGAGAGTAAAATGAATAAAAATTGGATATTATTTACAAATAAAAGGTAGCAACTATCATAAAAGTAAGGTGAAAATTCTCATTTCCCGCCATTTTTGACGGGCTATCTACTAGTTGTATTTATAATTATATTATCAAAATAAAACTATATTACATGTCTAATATATTGTGTTAAAAATAAAAGACATTTATTTATATTAGATTAAATTTATCATAGAATGAACGAACGTGAACGTGTTCTTTTTTATTTAAAGTGAACGCGTTCGATTTTTTGGAAATGTTTACAGCACTATATATAAAAAAGGAGTTAAATAATGTCTACTAAATTTTTTATATAAATTGAAGGTGGTATTATTTAAAAAAATGGTTTTTAATTCTTATATTAAATAAAATGGCCAGAAATTGAAAAAAATTGTTTTATATGAAAGTCTAATCTTTGTAGGCAATTTTGATAATTTTGTTATAATTGTAGTTTTTAAGATATGTTTAGTTGAATGAAGGCGTATAATTGCAAAAATACATAGTTTTTGACACTTAGAACCATAATATCTCAAAAGATATAAATGTTTGGAAACTAAATTTGGAGATATTTCATAGTTACAATGATCTTTCATTGCTTACCAAATTTTAAATAAATCAAAGGGGATTGACCTAATCGTGGTTGATTTGTATCAAATCGATCAAAACACGAGATTTATGGATGACCATCTCTAAAATGAACGAAACTTGGCATGATAGTTTCTATGTTGTATATTTTAATTAAATCAAAATTTTAGAGACGGCCTTTAAGGTAGAAAATCGCGCAATGCGTGATTTCACTAAATCTTGTTTTTTAAAAATACTTAAGATCAAAATTTTAGAGCCGGCCTTTAAGGTAGAAAATCGCGCAATGCGTGATTTCATTAAATCTTGTTTTTTAAAAATACTTAAGATAGTGTTACAAATTATATCATTTTATAGCCCTTAAAATTTTACATTGAAAAATATCGAAAAAAATTAACAAATTCCAGTGTTTTCTTATTAGTAAAAATAAAAAATCAGCATTATTGAGAAAGGATTTTTTGGGGGTGATATTCTTTAAAAATGTTTATCACCTATTTATATTATTTTTATAAATAAAATATATAATATAGATGGCATTATATCTAAAAATCAATATAATACAATATATTTAACAAAAATATGAATTTTGGTATTAAAATTAAAAAATCCATTTGGGGCGATATGTAAAATGACAGCCCTTGCAAATATGACAAACATATTAAAATTTTATCTACAAACTAATATAAAAAATATCTCTTATCTATTCCATTTTGCAGTTATTAATAGAAATTTCTGGGCAAAAATTTCTAGATATATCCTGTCGCTATCTATCGTTATTTTGATACTACTTATGGTAAAAGAAGTATGTGGTGGTTCTCTTTTTTAGTACAAGACCGGTTCAGACGTGATCCTATATGAAAGATCGATCAATAAAAGAATTTTGGAATATATTAATGTATTATGGGTATTTATTTGTTTAATCCAGCCAAAAGACTATTTTGGAATCTGAGCCCTGCATTAAACCTATTTTATTTAGCTCTGATCCTAGATTTTTTAAAATAAATATATTTCACCAAACAATTTGATTTAAAAAATTAAAGATTTGATCAACTTAGTTATAATTTTATTCTTTTCTGTCTATGAAATTTAATTATCAATCAATGAAATATTTCTTTATTAACTTTTAAATTTTTTTTAAAATTAGCACTGCAAAATTGTAAAATATTTTTTATCAATAAATCTAATCATTTTTTCCCAATGCAGTGATCCATTCTTTAGAGAGGGCTATAAGTCTATTTCAAAAAATTTACAAAAAGTATACCAGACTAATATATTAAAATTTTTAACCAATCTATTCAGCAAAAAGTCAAGAAAATATATTACTGCTCTGAGGGATCAGCTGTGCAATATAAAAACATGAATTTTTTATAAATCAGATTTTGGTGTAGCAGCTGAATGGCATTTTTCAGCTACATCTGGTCCATGCAACTGCCTTGGAGGAACATTAATAAAGAGTTAAAACCTTCAGCCCACCAATTTTGGACACCTTTTAAAACAGTTGTTTTATCAGTTTGCAAAACAAAACATGTCATCAGTAAATTTTACATCCAACAATCAATACAATTTATCAGAGTTGTTAAAGTATCTGGATACAAGTGTCTAGATATAAAAATTTCGTATCTGTATCTAGATAGATTTTTGATTAAAGTATCTGTATCTAGATATTATTTTAGAGGTATCTGTATCTAGATACTTTTTAAGATACATTTTGATATACTTTTATTTAATGCTTTTTTATATTATAAATAAAAATACTTAAATGTAAAAATTTCATATGAGCATATAACTTAATATAAATATATATATTAAAAAATTATAATATATATATATATATGTAAAATATATAAAAAAGAATATATAAATATTAATTAAATATTTATGTCCGAGTTATCAATAACAAGCAAATTCTGATATTACAATCCATCTCAAGGAATTTGCCATTTTTAATTGCAATGGAATTGGTATTTTATTTTATTTAATTTTATTCTATTAAATTAATTTTTAAGATTAACATTGATGACGAAAATTACAACATTCTTCCATGGCCAATTTATAGACCATATTTTAAAATAATATCTCGAAATAAAGAAAACAAATCTCTGTTAGTAAAATGTTTGCCATGTCTACCAAAAAATATGCAAATTTCGCTTAGCATTACCTCAACTTACAACATTATAAAAGTTTTAAGGGTATAGATACTAAATAAATGTTTACAATTTTAAATTTAAAGAGAAAACATCAAACACTCTTAATCCAAATAAAAAAGGTGAAGGAGAAAAAATCTATTAAAGAAAATATTGGAGTAGGCTCATCGTCCATTGGATTTTTTTTCCAAGAGACCTCAGACTTTAACCCAAACCACTTTAGATGATTTAATAACTGATTTTATTATAGATAGCATTCAGCCATTTTCAATTGTTGAAAATCCTTCATATATAAAAATTATCAAAACATTAGCTCCACAAAAAAATATAATTTGCCGACAGACAGTGGTTGCTAGAATCTCCCAAAGATGGGAGAATGAAAAGAAAGAAATCATTAAAAGTCTAATAGAACCCTCGTTAATATGCACAACAGTAGATTGTTGGAGTGCCTATCGCCGGTATAGCTAACATTTAAATTTGTATAATAATTTAATTACAAACAAATTATTTGAGCAGTTTTTAAGAAATGTTAATTTTTAGTTCATAATGAAGCCAGTAGCAAGCTCACTTGATATCCTGCAGGGAGATAAATATATGTTCACAGCCTATAAGTGTGCAACTATTTCCCAGCTCATCATTAAATTGAAAAATTTTAAACAAATGAACCTGAAATTTTGTTTACCACTCTTAAATGTCTTACTTAAAGGGATTTGAAGATAGGTAAATTAATAATAAATTAATCAATATTTAATAATTCTAGGTTTATTGGCACAATTTTTGAAGATGAAAATATTTTGACTATGCTTCATTTTTTAAACTAGATTAGACATGGTTACAAATGGATAAAAATTTAATTTAAAAAAACAATTAATACAAAGATTAGTTGAGGAATTATCAAAGTCTTCAAATGAGTACAAATTAACTTGTGAAAAAAAACCAATAATTTAATATCCGATTTTTTTCAGTATCCCACAGCAGGAAATTTGTTAATGATTTAAATTTTGATAATCAACAAATTTTAAATAGTTTTTTCAAAAATGAATGCCGAGATTTTAGTATTTTTTTAAACGATATAAAAATGTTATTCATTAAATATAACATCACAATTCCTTCCAGCGCCCCTGTTGAAAGACTTTTTAGTATAGCTAAAAATGTCTTTACAGATAAACGAGAAATAACTATTAAATATCAATAATCATAATTTAAAATTTATCAAATTAATATTCATTTGCTAATTTTTCATTGAAAATATTTTGCTACTGAAATCTAATAATTATTTATATTAATCATATATTATATTAATATCTAAAAATCATTATTTTAGTTATATTTTGATAAATGTTAT